GAGAACTTAGCATGTAACTTTTTCTCCCTTAGTCTTTGTAACACAAATCTCAAATGCTCTTCATGATCTTCCTTTGTTTTGGAATAGACCAGGATATCATCTATAAAAATTACTAGAAATTTATCCAAACAATCCTGGAAAATCCTATTCATCAAATCCATGAAGACCGCTGGTACATTAGTTTATCCAAATGGCATCACTATAAATTCATAATGCCCATATCTAGTTCAGAATGCAGTCTTGGGAATATCCTTGTTAGCGACCCTCACTTAATGTTAGCTGGACCGAAGTTCAATTTTGGAAAACACAGAAGCTCTCTTTAATTGACCAAACAAGTCATTAATTCTTGGCAATGGATACTTGTTTTTCACCGTCACCTTATTGAGCTCCCTATAATCAATACACATTCTCATCGAACCATCTTTTTTCTTGACAAATAAAATAGGACCTCCCCATGGAGAATGACTGGGTCGAATAAAACCTTTATCTAACAACTCCTAAAGCTGCTTCTTTAACTCTTGTAACTCTGCTGGAGCCATTCTATACGGGGCTTTAGATATTGGTGTCGTACCAGGAGCTAATTCTATACAAAACTCCACTTCCCTTTCTGGAGGAAGTTCTGGGAAATCTTTTGGAAATACATCTTTGAATTCTCGTACTATGGGTACATCCTGAACACTGAAGTCTGGAAACTTTTCTTTATTCACCACATTAGCTATGTACCCTATACAACCCTTCCTTATCATTTTCATTGCCTTCACTACACTTATCATCAGGTTGTGTAGATGACCTTCCCCAAAGGTGAAACTGTCTCCAGCATCTAAGTTAAACCTGGCCTTCTTCTTCCGACAATCTATTAATACTCCATATTTGCTCAGGAAGTCCATTCCCAAAATCATATCAAAATCAGGCATATCAAAAACAATCAAATCAACATTCAATTCATGCCCATCAATCACTATAGTTTCCCCCATCAACAACTTATCAGCAAAATAATTCTCCCCATTAGGCATCTCGATTTTAACAGCATGTTCCACTTTACTAGGCTTTAAACCTAATCTTTTTATAATAGCATATGAGATAAAAGAATGGGTAGCCCCAGAATCAATCAGTACATATAAAGAGGTAGGGTGGAATTGTAACTGACCAGTAACTGCAGATGGATTGGCTTTGGCTTCTTTTTGAGCCACTGAGTAAACTTTGGCAGTCGAACCTCCAACAGTCTAAAGGGAAGTAGCCTGAGTAACTTTACAGTCCTTTTCCATGTATCCTGGTTGTTTACATTTGAAACACACATTTGTCCCTAATAGACAATTCCCTTTATGCTGCCTCCCACATTTGTGACAATGGGGAAGATTATTCCTTCTCTGTTGTTGTTGTGAAGTCCTCTTATTCTTGCCACCCTTCTTTTGAAATCCTTGCTGAAACTTTCTTTTACCTTTGTCCTCCGAGACTTGAGTGGAATTCCCTACTTCAACTTTCTGAACTGCTGTCTGGTCCGAACTAGAACTACCAATCACCAATTTGGGGTTCTTCATCCGCCTCTCCTTATTCACAAAAATCTCGGCTCTTAATGCCCGTTCCTAAGCCTCACTATAAGTCTGGGGAGGCTGACCACCCGCTATAATAATCTGGGCAATTTTTGGGTGCAATCCATTAACAAATCTCTCTAACCGGTACTGTTGAGTACTCACCATAGTAGTAGCAAAACGGGCTAAGTAGTTAAATATTGTAGCATACTCTCTAACAGTCATATTACCCTACTTCAATTCCATGAACTCTTGAGTCTTCACGGATAACATGTCCGCCGACCGGTATTCTGCTTCAAATAGCCTTTTGAATTCATTTCAAGAAAGAGCACTCGTCACATAGGTATGCTCCATTAGCTTCCACCATACCCTGGCATCTCCTCTCAACAAATAGGAAGCATAGCTGACTTTTTCTTGGTCACTCATGGGAAACAAGGCCATTGCCCGTTCAACAGTCCTTAACCACTCCTTTGTCACCGCCGGATCGTTTGAACCACTAAACTCTGGAGGTTGGTGCTTTTGAGAAAGATTATAGATTGGTTCCACTTGTCCAGAAGGTGTAGCACCAGTCAGCATAACTAGTCTGGTTACTAGAGGTGGAACTGGTATTTGGAGCTGAGGCTGAACTACTGGAGCTGAGGGATTTATGTTCACTTGGTTACTTATACTCTCTGGGATAACCCTCCTAAAGGCCTCAGTAATAGCTGCCTGAATCATCCTGTTGATTGCAGCCTCATCCAAAACAGAAGCATTCTAGGTAAACGTAGGTGGTCCACTATTAGGGGGCGCATTGATAGTCGGTGCTACTAGCTCACTGGTGCCCTCTTCATTGACATTCTCCTCGCCCTTCCTATTAACCTTTCGTGAACGCCTCGTAGCCATACCCTTTACTCACACAAATTTCAATCAATGTTAGCTAATTCTATTCACTAAGCAAGTAAAGAAAATACTTAGAGCAATCGGCTTGAGAGAGTATCTTGGGAACGCGTAAGGAATGATACTTCCATTACTTACAAACACCATTACCAACATCAATTAATTATAAAATAACTATAACAAATCAATCAAAACATCATTTCGAACACCCAAAATCGCGCTCTAATACCAACTGTAAAACCCCTTCTAGCCGGGTATTTCCTAAGTATCCCTTGGCCATTGAGAACCTAGAAAACGCATGGTGTGCTGTTACAGGCAACCAAAATTAAAACCTAAAAACACATGTAGTAGTGTGAGTAAGGATCGTTCCCACAGAAAGTGTCTAGCCGAGTTTTCTGTTACGTGAACAAGGCTGAGGGGATTTGAGTAAAACGGAAACAATTTCAGGAAAAACAATTCAAATTAATCAATCAAAATAACAAACCTTGGTCTAAGCCAACATCCACTATCGGAATTTTACAACTGATAATCGATGCAAATATATATCAATTCATACTTTGAGTATTCACCGTTAGAACTATTTTCCTATCTCTCCTTAGTTGTAGTTAATTAGAAAACAAGCAATCAAATTAATCTTACTACTAAACAACCCTAGACAAGCGCTAAAGGTTTAATCTAGTAGCAACCTTAAAGGCTAGAGAAATCGATGAAACTGAACAACACAAACTCAAGCGGTTGTATTTAATTTAGTTGAATGTTCTTCTTAAGATTTAATAATTCCTAACGCAGCAAATTCTTAAACCTTAATTACTCACAAGTTAGAGGGATCAAACAATTACGTATTTGATATCTAACTTAGTAGTTGATTGCAACAAATAATAAACTAGTAGGCCTCCTAGTAATTAAATGAAACAATCATGAAAATAGGCATAGAAGAACATCCAATACTCAAAACGTAAATTGAACACTAAAAAAAACAGATTAGATCTCACAGTTTATTGATTCCGTGGCCTCCGTTTCCTTCGACCAAGTCATAAAAGTTTTAGCCGCTTATGGCCATAATCAAAACTCCAAGGAGAAAAATTCTAGAAGAGAGAAAGAGAGGCGTGTGTAAACTCCTATTAGGGCCAAAAATCGTCCTTGGCCCAAATAGGCAAACGGGCCCGACACTGAAGCAGAAGCTAGGCCCAATCCCAATGTGACCCAATCGGATTAGACCCATTCGGTACAAGATATAGCCGGCCCAAACCACATGGGCATGAGCCTCCTAATCTCAGTCCATTTCCTAGGCCCATGGGCGAATCCAGAGCCCACGACCCCCTCAGAATACTTTCCTATTCCTTATCAGAATCACTTTCCTATCCAGACACTGGTAAGTCAGTTTACCACGACCCTAATTCTGCTAGGGTTTGCATCAGAGTCATGCTAGGACTCCTACTTCTACCAGGATTGGGAGACCAGACAGTCACTATATAAGCAGAGGCCAGCCCTCTCACAAGGCAGATCACATTACACCTTCACACCCGAAGCTCTTACTTGAGAGCTTTACATCACCGCCGTAGTCACGGTCCCCGACTAGACTTCCGGTATTCTCTATTCCCCAGCCCTCACTATATTAGCCTTTCTCAGTTTTGCTAACTTGAGCGTCGGAGTGCCTACGGCAAGCACCACCTCGGTGTTTCCCGTTCGCTTTACGCGTGTGTTTCTCTACGTGTGCAGGTGCAGTGGATCGCTGGTGGCCTCAACCTCACGGGATCAGACCCCCCTTCCGTACAAGTAGATTTTTACGTCTACAGTTTAGCGCCCACCGTGAGGCCTCTAGTGATCATTCGGCTCGACGAACCTTGCTACGTGGAGGAACATTCCATGGCTGACAATCCCGACAATGTTAACCCCGGCCTCGAGGCCAGACTGGAGGTCTTGACCTCTCTCATGCAACAAAATTCAGACAAGGTGGCCACACTAGAAGCCGAGAACAATGCAATCTGGATCGAAAACGCGTCCATTAGGGCTGAAAACCAGTCTCTAGAAGAGAAGGTGGGTCAATTCTATGATCTCGAGTTCTTGCCCAACCAAGTACCTCCCAATCGGTTCTGCGCCCCTATCCCATCCATGCAACCACTCTCCACACCAGAGCATCAGCCCTCGATCTTCGGTAAATAGCCGCGTCTGTTAAGTGCACTGGCACTGGACGACTCCGTTTTGACTAATGGAGACAAAGATATGCCAGCAGAACACCATCTAGCCGACTCATCCCAGCCTCGTAACCAAGATAATCCAATAACGAAAAGCTCACATCCACAAGACCAGCCCACTCTCACCGTCCCGCTCCACCTCCAGTCCACAACCCAAACACAAACCCCACTCAGCTCGACTCACCCTCGCGGGTTGAATGGCCAAACCAAACCAACTCCAGCACTCGAGCTCATCCATCCTGACAGACCGAGCGACTACCAGTCGACTCCACTGACCATTCATGTAGGGCGGAACAACAGAACAATGACAATGGGAGTCATCCAACTGCAAGGGATGAACGAAGATCCATGCTACCAAGGAATGCACGACAGAACGATCTATCAAACTACCCTCCGAGGGATGACCCAATGGGATGTGCTGAGAACGAATGCAGCAGCAAACCAAGTAAGACAGAATGACCCGGTAGTATCCCCCTCCCCTATGGAACAAGTACTGGCCAAAAGACTGGCCGACGTTGAGGCAGTGATGAGACGCATTCCAGGTATGCCGGTCCCAACCAAGAAGAACAGACCCTACAGTTATGCTGATTCACCCTTTGTGGATGAGATCGCCCTGGCCGACATACCCCAGAAATTCACCATCCCCAACATGAAACCATACGATGGTACCACCGACCCGGATGACCACATAGCCTCATACAAGCAGCGGATGTTTACAGTCTCAATACCCCGACCGCTTAGGGAAGTCTGCATGTGCAAGAGTTTCGGTTCTAGTCTATCTGGACCGACACTCCAATGGTACACGAACCTCCCAAACGGATCCATCGACTCATTTGCCCAGCTTACTAACACCTTCGTGGAACAATTCGCCAGCAGCAAGAAACTAGAGAAACTATCAGTCGACCTATACCGAATATACCAGAGAAGGGGAGAGCCATTGAGAGAATATGTCAGCAGATTCAATAGAGAAAAGATCTCTATCCCCTCATGTAACCCTAAGACTGCTGTGGACGCTTTCAGGAAAGGCCTCCTCCCAGACGGAGAACTGTACAAAGAACTTACGAAGCTGGGTTGCATCACAATGGAAGATGCTCTGGCCCAGGTGGTTATCCAAATAAGATGGGAGGAAGATGAGATGAACCGAGCTGCCCATTCTAGATACGAATCAAGGCAGAGCGATAAGAAGCCAGAGCCTAGACTGGTAGAGCGCCGCTACCAACCTCCAGCACGCAATATGGGCAGAGTCAGAAAGCCTTATGATCGCCAACCTACGAGAAATGATAACAGGCAGTTCGGATCGAACCAATGCAAAATACTAGAGTACAACCTCAATGTCGAACCAACCCAGGTCGTAGCAATAATGAAAGGACTGGGATCCACCGTCAAGTGGCCTGGCAAGCTCAATCCCGAGGCAAAGAGAGACACAACCAAGTGGTGTGAGTTCCACAGCGACCATGGGCATAACACCGGAGACTGTATTGCCTTGCGGCTCGAGGTTGCCGCACTTCTAAAAAGGGGACATCTCCGTGATCTGCTTACTGACAAGGGGAAGAACACCATTAGCCAGAAAAGCTCCAAAGAACCGTCACCCCCTCCGCGGGAACCCACACCGAAAGGTTTCTGTTCGCTTATCTCTGGAGGATCAAAGATCAGTGGAGTAAGTTACTCATCAGCCAAGCGATATGCTAAAGCCAGCCACCACCATGAAGTACAGTCCATCCATCCATCCGGTCTCGCGATCACACTCTTATCAGGTAATTCAGTTTGAAGATGATGAACCGATCACCTTGGCCGCTCCTCATCACGACGCTTTAGTCGTCTCCCTGCAGATTGCCAACATCCTAGTGAAAAGGGTGTTCGTAGATGGAGGTTCGTCAGCAAACATCTTGTTCCTCGAAGTAGTCAAGGCAATGGGACTAGAAGAAGCAAACATCAACAGGCGACCGACACTGCTGGTTGGGTTCAGCTCGGAGCAGAAATACTCTATTGGGGAGATCATCCTTCCCATCTACGCCAGTGGAATAAACAAACAGACCGTCTTCCTGGTGATCGACTGCCCATCTCCCTACAACGTCATTTTGGGCCGCCCCTAGATCCATGACATGCGGGCAGTCCCATCTACCTTCCACCAGATGATCAGGTTTCCAACCAAGTGGGGAGTACGGGAGATCAAGGGCGACCCCAAAGCTTCCAGGGACTGCTACAAGAACGCTTTCAAGGGCAAAGGAAACTCTTCATAGCAATTACAGTCTCATCTAACCCCTCGGACCGAGCCTGACCAATCGACTATTGAGGAGTTGGATGAAGTGCAGATACATCTGGACGAACTAGAGAGAAAGACACATATAGGCTCCCGCCTCGAACCCGAGACAAGAGAGAAGCTGATAGAATTTCTCAAACAGAACGAAGACTGCTTCGTCGGGTCCCACGCCGACATGACCGAAATCAATCCAAACGCAATGGTCCACTAGCTCAAGGCAGATTCGGATCACCCACCAGTCAAGCAGAAGAGGAGGAAATTCGCACCTGAGCGAAACCGGATCGTCAATGAAGAGATTGAAAAGTTCCTAAGCAACGGCATGATCAGAGAGGTCCACTACCCTAAATGGCTAGCAAACATCGTGGTCGTAAAGAAAAAGAACAGGAAGTGGAGAGTCTGCATCGACTTCACTGACTTGAACAAAGCCTGCCCCAAGGATTCTTTCCCACTCCCACATATCGACATGATGGTAGATGCGACCGCAGGGCACGAACTCCTTAGTTTCATGGACGTCTTCTCGGGATATAACCAGATTCTGATGCATCCGGACGACCAAGAGAAGACAGCCTTTATCACAGAGAGGGGAACCTACTGTTACAAAGTAATGCTGTTTGGACTGAAGAATGCCGGGGCCACCTACCAACGTCTAGTCAACAAAATGTTCTCTAACCACTTAGGGAAGACCATGGAGGTGTACATCGATGACATGCTCGTCAAGTCCCTAATTGCCGAACAACACCTTGACCACCTTAGCCATCCTCCGGAAGTACTACATGAAGTTGAACCCAGACAAGTGCTCATTCGGCGTCTCATCAGGTAAATTCTTGGGCTATATGGTTACTCAGCGAGGGATAGAAGCAAACCCCGACCAGATCAGAGCGATCCTCAACATACCATCCCCGACTTGCATCAGAGATGTCTAGCGCCTTATAGGAAGAGTGGTCGCTCTGAGCCGCTTCATCTCCAGATCAGCTGATAAATGCCACCTATTCTTCCATGCCCTCAAGAAGTCCAAGAAGTTCGACTGGAACCCTTCCTGCAAAGAAGCCTTACAACAGCTGAAGAGGTATCTGACCACACCCCCACTTCTTTCCAAACTTGTGGACGGGGAGAAGCTCTACTCTTACCTAGTGGTCTCAGAGACAGCCATCTCGGCAGTGCTAGTTCGAGAAGAAGAATCAAAGCAATTACCGGTCTACTATGTGAGCAAGTCGCTCCTTGACACAGAAACTCTGTATAGTCAACTGGAGAAACTAGCCCTCACCCTCATCCATGCATCCAGGAAGCTCAGGCCGTACTTTCAGTGCCATTCCATTGTTGTAATCACCTCTTTTTCACTCAAGAAGATACTGCACAAACCAGAACTACCAGGCCGACTCATGCAATGGACAGTAGAGCTTAGTGAGTTCGATATAGCCTACCCATCCCGTACCGCCGTCAAGTCCCAGACACTGGCAGACTTCATTGCCGACTTCACACCAAGCGCCACCACCAAGGCTGAAAGAGAATTACTATGCATGAACGGCGTACCACCCTCAAAGTGGACTCTCCTAGTAGACGGATCGATTAATGTCAATGGAAGCGGACTCGGAATAGTACTGATCGCACCAGAGAGAGACATCATCCAGCGAGCAATCCGGTGTGGGTTCAAGTGCATGAATAACGAGGCCGAATATGAAGCCCTCCTAGTTGGACTTTCCTTGGCCAGAGAAATTGGAGCCAAGAGACTAGAAGTGAAGTCCGATTCCCAACTCGTAGTCAATCAACTACAAGGCACGTATCAAGCACGCGATTCAAAGTTGACATCCTATTTGAGCATGGTCAAAGAGCTGTAGGCCAAATTCGAAGAGTTCTCAATCGTACATATCCCCAGAGCTGAGAACTACCATGCCGACGCCCTCGCCAACCTTGGCTCGGCACTCCTATGTTCTTCCCAGTCATCCATTCCCCTCTTATTCATGCAATGGCTAGCCAACTGGAAGGAACCACCACCGAACAAGTCTCCCGTAGAAGCCATGGGCATTGAACAAACCGACTATTGGATGACCCCGATAATGAGATACCTGGAAGACGATGAGCTCCCAGCTGACAAGAACGAAGCACGCCGACTGAAAGCAAGAGCCACCAGATTCACCATACATGAGGGCCAACTCCTCAGAAAGTCATTCTCGGGCCCTTATCTCAAATGCATAAGCCCAGAAGAAGCCCAAAGTGTTCTAGCCGAACTCCATGAAGGCGAATGCGGCAACCACGTGGGGGGGGGGGGGGGGGGGGTGGGGTGGGTGCGCAGTCTTGCACATCGGGTGATCACCGCTAGATACTACTGGCCGACCATACGCACCGATTCGACCGCTTACGCGAAGAAGTGCGACAACTGTCAAAGGTTTGCCCACGTCTCACTCCTCCCACCAGAACGACTCCATTCCATTCTCACACCTTGGCCATTCATGAAGTGGGGAATAGACATCGTGGGAAAGCTACCTACTGCACCGGGGCAACGAGTCTTCATGTTGGCTGTGACAGACTACTTCACCAAGTGGATCGAAGCCGAAGCCGAAGCCTTCACACAAGTCAGAGACCGAGAGGTAAAAGCCTTCATCTGGAAGAATGTAATCTGTAGGTTCGAAATACCGAAGGAGATTGTCACCGATAATGGATCCCAGTTTATTAGTTCAGGCTTCAAGGATTTCTGTGACATGTGGGGAATAAAGTTGAGCTTCTCAACACCCCGCAACCCCCAGTCTAACGGCCAAGCCGAGTCATCAAACAAGACCATCATACAAACATTGAAGAAACGATTGCAGAAAGCTAAGGGTGCATAGGCAGACGAGCTACCCGAAGTCCTCTGGTCATACCGAACCACGGCTCGATCATCAACTGGTGAAACCCCGTTCTCCCTGACATACGGTTCCGAAGCAGTCATTCCAGCTGAAGTATCAGTTCCGTCCACCAAGCTCCAATGGGTGGACGAGGAATCAAACAGTCACAACCTTTGCCAGAACCTAGACATTGTGGACGAGTTACGGGAACGGGCGAGCATCCGTCACGTAGTTTACCAACAACAGGCCGCCTGACATTATAACCGTAACGTGAGGATCCGTACTTTCAAGATAGGCGACCGGGTCCTCCGCAAGGTCTTCCAAAACACCAAGAAGATCAACTCTGACAAACTCGGTCCCACTTGGGAATGTCCCTACAAGATAATCAAAGCAGTGGGGAAGGGTGCCTACAAACTCTAGACCCCCGAGGGCAAAGACATCAACAACAGTTGGAATGCCATTCACCTCAAACACTACTACCACTAGGTGAACTTTGTTTTTCTTTTAAAGGGATGAGTGGGCCTGTCCACCTCCTCTTAGACAGTCAGCTTCATGGCCAAATATTTAATGAAGTACTATTCATAAGTTTTCGTCTCCAAACCGACCCCAGTCGATGAATTACGGACACCTTCAAATCGGCCTGCTCGATAAACATACGGACACCTTCAAATCGGCCTGCCCGATAAACGTACAGACACCTTCAAATCGGCCTACCCAATAAACGTACGGACACCTTCAAATCGGTCATCCAGATAAACGTACAGACACCTTCAAATCAGCCTGCCCGATAAACGTACGTACACCTTCGGATCAGCCATGCTGATAAACGTACGGACACCTTCAAATCGGCCTGCCTGATAAACGTACGTACACCTTCGAATCGGCCCTGCCCGATAAACGTATTGACACCTTCAAATCGGCCCTATCCAATAAATGTACTGACACCTTCAAATCGGCCCTGCCCGATAAATGTACATACACCTTCGAATCGACCCTGATCGATTTACAATGACATCCTCGGATCGACCCTTCCTGATTCGCGAGTTGCACCTTCGTATTGGCGCCACTTGATCTACGAAATTCAGCACGACTTATGATTCACACCACCCAGTCGACCTGATCCAACCCAAGAAATCAACTCCAGTTTGACTTCGTTCATCCACGGGAATGTACACTCGGTCGACCAGACCGAATGAATGGTCTTCACACCAGTGACAAGCAAAGCATTGATCCAGCCCAACAGAAGGCCTACATGCCTTCCCCACTAGGCCACTCTAAAGTAACATACACGACGTAGTGCACCTACAAGTAAAGAAACAACAGTTCATTCATCCAAGGAGACAGCATCAGAAGTCAAAAATGGTCAAATGTTACATATATAACATCAAACAGCCCAGTTCAGAATACAAAAAAATGGCACACATGCCAGACAAAAGGGCATCGCAGGCCCCAAAACACATAAATAAAGAAAAAAGCTAAGTATCCTGAGCATGAGCTTCATCCCCCATCGCCGAATCGGTCATCATATCCGCACTGCCAACGCTCGGCCCAGCACCCTGGCCGCCTGCATCATCAACACCCGATAGCCTCGGCTGGCTGAGGTCAGGCATCTGCTCGTCGTCTTGCCCCCCTGGATGACTACCTCCTTCGTCCAGTAACTCCTGCATGAGCAAGATGTCTTCATCCAGA